GTTTACACTTTGGTGATGGAGAAGAGATGTATATGCAAGGGGACGAGATCTGGCACCCGTCTTGTGAACATTCTCGCACTACCGAAAATATTGCAGTGCGTTTTTTTACTGCTATTGATATCATGATTTATCTGTGTAACGATTGTGACTATGGGTTGCCTCCATTGAGCGATTCTGTGCGATCGCACGCCAAGGACCAATTTTTGCCAGAATCCATTTTTTAAAATCAATGCCATGCTTATTTTCTCGGTGTTTTGCGTTTTTTTTTTCTGTGGAACGAGGTTAACAAAGCGCACACACTAGGGAAATGACACTTTTAGATTTTGTCTAAACCCTAGGATGAGTGCTTCACAATATGTACGCATGCTGTACGTCTTTTTTGCCCACATATAGGTTCGTTATAGTTTTTACGTTGGCAGCTTTACCACCCTCACACTCGTTTCATTTCTTCCTGTTGGGTTTTATTCTTCTCTTGACTTGAAAATTACTATGAACTTAAAACGCTACAGAAAATATAAGGAATAGATCTGCAGCTCGTTCGAACGAAGGATTTCCGATCTTTTGATTGCGCATCTCGCTGACGCGTTCGTTCCGCACTGCCTTCGACTGCTCAAAATAAAACTTAGTTACAGAGAGAAATCAAGCCAAGTTCCAAAAAATGAGCACGACATTACATTACTACAAACTGGATTGAGTAGCAGCAATCATTCTTTGCCTGCTCTGACATATGGCGTATTGTGCAATTGTTCAAGATCAGCCCATTAATGTCGACAATTGAAGTATGGAGGCACTCTTTTCGTTGCAAAGAAGTACATAGTGGTTAACCTCTCTTGAAGATGCATCTGATCTAATAATTGAACTGGTTTAGATTTCTTTTGTTGTTGTACGGTCCTACATCATTACCGTCTGGATTTCAGCCATCAGCAAAGAGCACAACATTGTCATCGCGAAATGAGCCAAAATATCAATCAGCGTTTGGCCAGCATCTTACCTACATGTATCTTTTACCGGAAGCTGAGCAAACTTACCTTCGTCATCCTATCACAAATCCTAAAGAACCAAATGCTCCACAGTTCCATGTACCCCAAGGTACTTTGACTCATTTTGAGATACGTTAGTGTCAATGAAAACATTTGTTGTTCAGGTCCTATTAAAATTCGGAAGTCTCGCCTTTCTATGCTGAAAACAGGAATGCAGCGTCTTAGTATGTTTTTTTTTATTGAGCGCAAGTGCTTCTATCGTTTTGCCATAATTAGTTCCTAAAATAATCAAAAATATAATTATGCGAGTTCAGCGGAGGATCTTGAAAAAAATGTTCCACGACCAAAATCTCCTCATATGGACAATGAGGAGCCGATCGAAATGGCACATTATCCTGCCGGTCACGCTCCAGATCCGGATAAGGTAGAAGCTGTGGCGCATCGGAATATAATTTTATGTTATTTATTTTTCTTGTAGCTTCCTGCGATAGAGCGAGACGATTTTCCTGCTCCACCGTATCCTTACGCTGTCGAAGGTAAATCGACTTTCTTTTTTCTTACAATTATTCACCCATTCTGCTGTATTTTTGCTGTATATTCGTACATAGCCGCACTATTCGAAATTGTTTCCATGAAAATAGCAGCTCGTTGCCGGTCCATAGTTGCTATAGCTGATGAGTCGTTGCAGAATGCCATCTCTTTTTTTCTCGCGCGAAAAATTATGACTTGCTGATATGATCTATTTTTATAGCTAGCAATAGAATTTCGCGGTGAAAAAAGACTATCTCAGTCGAATCATATTTTTGAGCTAGATTGTTTTTGTAATAGTTGTTCTGAAACTTCAGAAATTTTTTGTAACCTTACATAATTTTCCATGTCCTTCAAGTTGATCTTTGCAGAATTGAAAAGGCGCTTGTCAACTTCGTCCATTGAAAATGAGATATCTGATGACGAACTGTCAGAGAGTGAGCGGATTGATGAAGACAAGCTGAAAAAGGTCAATAATTACACTTTCAGCACCATGTGCACG